ACATTTTGAGTCGTCGGACGGTACCAGTACGGGAGGATTTGGATTGTTTTTTGGGCTGTACCGAAACTGGTTCAAATCATAAATTTTGAGCCGTCAGACGGTACCAGTACATAAGGTTTTGGACGTGGTCCAAATGGGTATCCGAATGTGTGATCGTGGCATGATGTTTATTTACTTCCGGATGCCAAATCATAATTTTTGAGCAGTCGGACGCTTCCTATACATTAAGTTTTGGAAATGTCCGCTGGAACCAGTTCCAGGTATCCAGGTGACCCATAAATGTTGAGCCGTCGGACGATACCAGTACATGAAGTTTAGGATGTGTCCTATTTGGGGCCCTGTTGGAATTTGGTCTGGGTACCGGATATGGCCAGATCCACTTATTTGCTCATGGCATGATGTCTTATTATTGATGAATGAAAAATCAAAAATGTTGAGCCTTCAGACCAATACATGAGGCTGAAAGAAAGTTTCCATTTGTGCCCTATCGGAACCGGTGCCAGGTATCCTAAATGGCCAAATTGGAAAAAAATACAGGGTGACATTTTGAAACCTTGTTGTTGATGAAATATCGAAGCAATCTGTTTATTTCGGCATTGAATCAGAATATGCCCCTGTACCAAAATGTCAAATCCCATTAGTGCCACACAGCAACATTTGCATTTGGTGTATTTTCTGGACTTAATTAAGCATTTAATAATTCATTAATTTGCATTGAATTTTACATGCATATGTGTTTTTACACAACAGTGAGAAGATCAATTGAAATTATTTGAATTTTCAACGAAAAACGAAATAAACTCACATGCACGTGTAAATTTAAGGTACAACTAATTGAAGTACTGATTGCTAAACGTGCAACTTTATATCCAAAAACCTGCTCCAGCTTATAGTTGAAAATTGCAAAATATTTGTATCTGTGCAGAACGTCAAAATCGAAGACATGTTGGATTCAAACTAATAATACAGCAATTCCATCATAAAAAGTTAGTGGATTTTAAAATTACGTAACAATTGGTAATTTTGTTCCTCATCGAAAAAACTCAGCCCCTTTTTTTTCGCATTTAGGGTGGCCCCTTCCATGTTAGGATGGTCCAAAAAATCAAAATTTGTCCGAATTTTTTAAATTATAACTTGAACCGTTGGACCGATGTGTTGACCCTTTTGGTGGTCAAATTAAAAATAATAAATCCTAGTTTTTCAGAAAAAATATGTACATGGACCTTAACCGTGGTTTTACATTGAAAACACTTATTATAATCTATTTTCAGGATTTTCATCTTGGGATTTTGGACTCGGGACTAAAAGCACTATTGTATGATATATTTTTTCTTGAAAATTTGGACTTTTTTAAACAATATATTAAAAATCAGCGATGTACGTTTTTTCATTTCTGAAATACAATATTTCAAAAATATAAAGTTTTTAGGTTTTCCTCTTTAACTGCAATGAGCCTCCATTATTTAAAACTTAATCATTTTGAAAATTGTTGCTCAGAAACCACTGGGCCGATTTTTTGTATCAAAAGGTCAAAAGAAAGATTACAAAGTCTAGTTTTTTTAGGAAAATATGAACATGAACTTCAACCGTGGTTTTATATGGAAAAGCATTGATTCTAATCATTTTAGAGGGTTAGTGTCTTAGTTTCTTCGGAAAAGTTGTTTATATTGAAATCGGCCTGTTTTTTTTTGTAAAAACGTCATTTTAGCCAAAATCAGACAACTAACTTATTTGTTTGAAGCTATACTGCCCATAATCGCATATCAGTCCCATATTGATAGGAAATCAAGCAAAGATGAGACTGATATGCGATTATGGGTAGTATAGGTGGTTGCATTTTTCAGCAAAGTTGTAGAAACAAATATTTCAGCAACTTTGCTGAGGAAAAATGTGACTCTACATCGCACCATACCATACCATATCATATATTTTTCTACTCTGGGTTAGGGTGGCCCTAAAAAATAGTTTTTTTTTTACGTAAGACTACGTCTTTGATTTCTATATGGAGGTACAGTTAGTGAAAATCGAAAATGGAACATGTAACAAATTAAGAAAGATTTTGAACGTTAATAACTCAGCTGACCCTGGTCCAATTTCAATAATTTTATCACCAATCGATCAGAAATATGGCTACGCATCGATAAAAATGCTTCCGAATGTTGATTTTCAACAAGAAACTATTGAAAAACTACTTGTAAATGTCCAGCATTGTCCCGCAAATCCACCAATTACCTACATGCATATGCTGCTTCCCCAGCATAGTCGTCAGAGAGTAGTAAGTAGACGAAACCGGTTGAAGTGGCATTCGCCTTCGATCCTCGGGCGCGTGCGAATAGGGAGGATGGAATTGCGTAATATTTTGCACACTCATCGCCATATTCAGAACCAATCGCAATCCGTCGTCTGGCTCGCAGTGGCGGTGTCTGACGTATCTCCGGTCTGATTTACGAGGTGTGCTGAAGGTGTTCCTGAAAAATGAGGTCCATGATGCTGTCACCTACACTAAACACGCCAAGCGTAAGTGGCCATGGATGTCCTCTTCAATAAAACGGCCCTTTTTAGGGCCATCAAGCTTACATCAATAATGAGTTGGAATAGAATTTATCTGTACTTGTTTGTCCATATTCAGAACCACAAGCCCCCAACGACCACACAAAATGCTCTCCAGAGTTGTAATCTTGTAATAAAACTTGGAAGCAGGGGTGCAAGTGATTTTAATTGATTCTCTTAATCAACTTTCTCTTTGAAAAAAAATACTACAAATTTGGTACGCCTACAATTCATAAACGGAAAGAGTTGAGATAATAGATAATTGATCAATTTAAAGAACTAAATGCTCTTCACATTTATTCCGTCCACTAGCGGTCCTACGTCAAGCTTCCGTTCATGCCCCTAGGCACAGACCCTTCTACTTTTTATTTTAACTTTTTGGTTTAAAATGTTAAAAATAAGTGACCTTGAGTTGTCGGGAAAATTATGGCACACATTATTGCTGAACAATGTTTTCGGGTAAAGTGTAAAATTCATAAGGCATGGTAATTTTAACACACACAAAAAATCATCAAACATTTATCAGAATCAAGAAAAAAAATCAGAGTGTGATCTTTGATACATTATGAAACTTTTAAACGTTCCACTTCATTTTCGGCAATACCAGGGTTCTTTCTCAGCTGCCGCTTGATAATCACCCAGTATTTTTCGATAGGTCAGAGTTCTTGGCGATTTGGTGGATTGTTGCCTTTGGGCACAAAATTTACATTGTTCATCCGATACCATTCCAATACCGTTTTTGCATAGTGGCACGAGGCTTAATTTGGCCAACACACTGTTGAACCACCGTGTTGCTTCAAAAATGGAACTGGACGTTTTTGGAGGCACTCATGTAGATAAATTCTTTCACTTCGTTTACCGCAACTACAGATTGCTTGCCAAATCAAAATATTGTTGACAAACTTCGAAATTTTTTTCTGCTTCAATTTATCGGCCACATAAAATTTATCACGTGCAGTGTCAAATTCCAAGCCTAGTAATTGTTGAAAGTCGGCTTTGACGTTAATGTTTCGTCATCCATTACACAGCAATCAAACTTTGGCAGAAGAGTCGTCTTCCGAGTACGCGAGATTTTTTTGTTCTTTGATATTTTTTATCGTATGCATGATAAGCTATTGGAGGCAACCCCGGCATAGTGGTAACAATCCATTCCTCTCACGCCAATGTCACGAGTTCGAATCTCACCCCAGACAAGTCACGAATGATCCAAGAGCGTTAAAGTGGCTATAAAAAAACAGGATGAGCTATTGGCAAATTTCAGTGGTGCAAAAATTACGTGGACACCCTTTATCAATATATCATGTAATTGGATAGATAATTTTATTCTTTAGCTCCTGAAAGGCCATAATAGATAAACGATAATCTTAAAATTAACTGTCAGAAACGTCTCAATATAGCAACTTGAAACCTTCTGAAAAAATAGGTTGTAACTAGTTCTAAAATTTGTCTTTATGCTACTTATTTTCTGAAATGAAAAACAAAAAAATAAGAATGAAAGAACGGTTTTTATTAGAGGCACCCTAAAAGCACCCCAGAAAAATAGGTCTAGAATGATCAAATAAAGACATATGATTTCTTCAGATCAAGGTTTTCATCAAAATTTCGTATGAAAAATACTTAAATCACAACAATGTCAGAATATTATTTCAGAGGCATGTTTTGCTTTAAAAGTTTTTAGTACACATATCTATCTTTATAACAATACCAAAAGATTCAAATGTGGTCAAAATATTGCAAAGTTACAGCCTAAAACGTGTTTAATTATTCAAAATTCCGTATACAAAATACATTATGTCACATAAAAATACCCGAATGTTGTTTCAGAGACATGCTTTGTTCTAGAAGTTTTTAGTACTATCTCTAAATTGGCACCACCAGATTTGAATTTGGACAAAAAAAGATAAATGGCAGGTTTTGCTTGATTTGTTTTCCGTCGATCTTGTTTTCGTCCTGACATCAGGGAGGCAGCTTCCACACTTGGACTTTAACTATCGACTCATCAGCTCATGGCCGGGGACCAGCGGCTTTACTTCCCTTCCGAAGGAACGTATGATCAGAGATTTTATGCCTCAGAAAATCAGAAGACGCCGATAGGGATTGAACTTTCCCTAAAATTTTACGTTCTACAAATTTGCAAACCTCTAACATGCGAAATAAAAAGATTTATCTCGCTGCGCCATCATTGCGGCCAAAACATGAACAATTTTTATTGTACTGGACCTCGAAAATGATCTTGTGAAGGTTTTGTACACAAATGTTAATTCTAGATGTTCCCCCCATGTTGGCAACCTGACTCAACTGGAACAGCCAACGTGGCTCGAAAAAGAGGATGACTAGATAGTGTGACACTAAATCAACAGTACACAAAAACCGACTGAAATATCTCTTATCCTGGAAGGAGAACAGATGCATCCCCACCCCACCCGTATGCTATCCATCCGTAAACTCACCTGGAATGTGTCAGCAATAACGACAGCCTTCATACCGCCCTGCGATGAGTAAAAGATACACACAAAGTAGATCAGCGCCACGGCCACGTGCGTATCCAGACCTGTTGCTTTGGAGAGGGCAATGGCAGGTGCCAGGACGGCCACCGACGTGTAGAACGCCATCTACAACAATAAATACAGGATAGAGGATATAGTCCGGATGTAGGTACATGAATATGAGCGTATACAATTTTACTGTGCAGAAAGGCATGGAGCTATCTGAACTGAAAAAAAATTATAATGGAACAATGCTAGCGAATGTAGGTGCATTACAAAAGATTAGATGATATTGTACTTGAGTATATGAAAGCTCACTCCACAATCTTCAGCTGCGAACGAAGGGGAGCGAAAGGATAATGTTAACTAAAAGGATTACAGCGTGTTACAGGATATGATTACACCGGGTGACTGGATCTTGCTTACTGCTTACCGAGGCTGAGTAACTGACAGAATGAATTGTCGGTCGAATGATACTGCAAACGATGTAAGGCTTTAAGATTACACTGAGAATAACTAATCTCATCGCATACCATGTGCATTGGCCAAGCTTTCTGCTTTAATATGATCATGAACCAAAATGGTCTCACTAATCTAGCAAACCATTATACAAATTACTTCATACCTCATTGAATCTTGCTAAAGCACACAAATTGTATCGCCTGAAACAAATGCCACTCAATAGTACCCAACCTAGTAAATTAAATTGCCTTTCTCTGTGTAACTCGTACTTCCAGAGCCACCCTCTCACAGGCGACACCCCCAAACCATCCAGACTTAGCAAATTTTCTAAATCTACATAATGTTGCCTTATTTTCCTTTTGTCATAGCTGCCGCTAAAGAGAACCCGACATTTATGACCCTCGGTTCCTCTCGCTTCCATAACCTTCCACTCAAAATGCTCCGATGGCAGCCTATGGCCTTCCAATGTTAACTAATCTTCCACGTCAACCTAAAGAAAATTGGGTGTAAAAAAGAGCTAAAATATTTCAAAGCCGGATCGAGCTTGCCAAAAACCAAAGCCATCATTCAACCCGGTTTCAACCCCACGAACCCCCGCTTGAATCTAATATCAGCAGTCGATTTGCAGCAACGACGGTTTGGACCCACTTTGACCGGCAACCAACCTTTTAGAAGATGTTTGCTGTTATAATTGTTAATCAATAAAACTTTCTTCCTCCCCCACACACCCCATCGGGGCACAGTGGTTCAACCAAATTAAAAATTGATGATAAATAATTTTCCACTCAAATAGCAGTCGCTTAAGAAGAATCTGGAATGTGAGAAAAACACCTTGGGTCCCATCGATTTTTTTTATTCAATTAATTACTTATTCCAATAATCTGTTAATTAACATTCTCAATACTTGAAAAATCATTGGTGGTAAAAAAACAACCGGATCTGTCGTCGCTGTCCTTTTGTCGTTTTGCCAAAACATATAACAAAACATATAATACTCAAACTCCTTCCACCATTTCACCAAAACAAAATTTAAATTATGATGAACTTTTGATCCCCATCAGACCACTGTGCGGGAAAGTAAATCATTTTGCTATAAAATGCTTTAGGAACACGACTTCCTGAAAGGTCTCATTGTGTTCTGCTGCTAATTGATTTGCCTTCTAATAGAATCGAAATATTTCCATTCCACCACATTATGAAAGGCGAGTAAATTACATCAGAAAGTTGATTAATTGCAAGATTTTTGGGATTGGTTGATTGAATTGTGGAGTCAATGCCTACTGTCAGTCAATGTCATAATCGGGTCCCATCTGTCTGTGGGTGCTTTGATTTCGGGGGAAAATGAAGCATTACATCTTAAAACCTTTCTATCCAAAATAGGGTGCATGATTAGATTTGTGTGTGAAACGTTGTCCTAACGAGTATTTTCTAACTAAACCCCACAGGGAGTTGGCTTACCTGTAAAATATACAGAATCGCTCCGAAAATCCGAATCTTGTTGTCGAATCTCGATCCCAGATACTCATAGCAGCTCGTAAGGTTCATCTTATAATAGACCGGATAGAACAGTTTAATGGCAACGGGGATGACGAGCAGAGCGGAAATTACTGGAAATCAAATAACATTTACCAGGCGTGAGTGTGTTTGTCTTTCATGTTGGAAGATGAGCACAAACCTACCTATTAGGGCGTACTGGGTGCCACTGAAAAACATTTCCGATGGATTTCCCAGAAGCTCTATTGCAGTGATGAAGCTCGTGGTCAGACTGAGTGTTACTGGGAAAACGGTCATGCCGGAACCGAGCAGGAAATCGTTGGAACTCGGGCTGTCGGCATCCTTTTTGGATTTTCCAAAATATCCGTAGAATATTCCTGTGGAAGAGATCAGAATGGGATTAGTAATTGTTGCAGTCGGTGTGTAGTCGGTAGTTATTTCCAGTAGGGACGGTATAAAACCAAAGCAGAATAAGCAACTGTATATTGCAAGAACGCAAATTAGCGGGCTTGTTAAGTCACGAAAACTTGCAGCAACTTTTGCATGATAAAAATATTTCGTATAGAAGTTTCTATAGTCGATTTGCGTCAAGTGTGTGTCTAAAAATCTGCCTAAAGTTATTATCAAGATTCCGGAAGATGAGGAACTTATGAAAATTGTCATAAGATTCTGAAACATCTGATAAGTTTCAAGATTTCAGATTACAATTATTATCCCAGATCTTAGTTATAATAACAAACTTTGGAATGTTTAACTTAGCATAATTCTCAAGATTCCATACAGCAATAGATTTTTACTATAGAAAATTTACTTTTCATATTTGCATGATTTCCGTTTATGTTTCATCCGAACATCCGTATTGTTATGCGTTCTAGGGTATTTGAGTTTGCATTCATTTTGGCTAATAAAATGTTTTATGGAATTATGGAATAATAAGATATTATGATGATATTTTGTATGTGTAAGTAACAAGAAAAGATTGTAAGTTTGTGTTTGACACATGAAACCTGAAAATTTAGCTTTGTCATAGTCTTTTTTTTTTTTTTTCTTCCCTTTATTTAACGTTGGTCTCTGTTCCGCAATCCAGTGCCAATCACCGACGGACATCGATTGCCTTCCATTGACGACAATCGAATGTGCAGGAAGGCAGCTCTCACACCTGGGTAGGATATCGCACCCATTCATTAACACACATGGGCCGGGACCAACGGCTTTCCTTCCCTTCCGAAGGAAGACGTGACCAGAGATTTGTATATGCCTCAGAAAAATCTCACCGACCTCGGCTGGGATTGAACCCAGACCCATTGGGTTGTTACAAAGCAGTCACGCTCACCACTACACCACCGGCGCCGGCCACTTTGACATAGTCACAATGAGCGATTTTCTGATCGCCTCTTCGCGAAGAGTGAAAAGCGAAGAGTGGATGAGATAAATGACAAAATCGCTTATTGCGACTCTCATGTACCAAAATTGGCTGGTATTATGTGTCAAACACAAACTTCACAATATTTTCTTGATGTTTACACAAACAAAATATTATCATAATATCTTATTGTTCTATAATTTCATAAAACATTTTTTAGCCAAAATTAATTGAAGGCACCCTGGTTTAAATAATGTTTTGCTACTATCCCTATGAATATCCTTCATTAAGGTATCGATACGGGACAAATCTTCAGGATTTGTTATTTGGTTCAAGATTTACGTTACGGTTTTTTTTATTCTGAGGTTTTGAAAAATGATAGTGATCTCATGTTTTACTGAGTTATGATTGTAAAATAAAATAATATGACACACTAGCTGGTCCATAGTTGTGTAGTGTATTTTATAATGTTTTCATGCTTTTCAACGGCGCCTTTTCAATAATGGAGGAGAATTTTTAATTTAATTAATTCAATCATTTTAGAGCATAGTGATAATAACACATACGCAACACATAAATGACGTAGGTTTTAAGGTGAGAGTGACCTAGTGCGTAAATGAAAATTTCAAAAATAGGAATCTCTGAGACATCACTTCGGATGGAGATGAAATGCACGTATGATACGTTTTAATTCTGAACGATTTGCTTATCTTCTATGAATAATTATAAGAGACATTCTTAAAATTATCCTAAATCTAGAAAACTTTTGACAATTTGGAATTCCTTAAGCAATCGAATAATAACTGCTTAAAACAGGGTCAAGTTGATCAGAGGGTGTACTTGATCATTGAAATATCTTATAAGTTTTAATTGAGAATAAGTAAGAAATCTTAAGAAGAGTCCTGTGATAATAATAATCCGGCATTTTGTTTTCATAGGCCTAAAATAAATGACAATACTCGTTATGTTCTGCTAACGCAATGAAAACAAAACTTCAACAACATATTTTTGAAGAGCAAATTTACGTAAAGAGAGAGAGAAAGATTAGTAGTTTCCATTTCATTCCACTGCCTCATTTGCTTATCCTTGATAGATACGCGTATTTCGTCTACAATGTGCAGACTTCTTCAGTGTCTTGTACTAATACTCAACTAGTAGTGGAAATAAATGGAAATTACTAATCTTTCTCTCCTCAAGTAGCATTGCAAGTTTTATAGTGGTTTTAGAGCATTCTACATTCTACAAGTCTAAATGGAGTACAGTAAAGCAGCCATCACCGACGCAGCCGAGAGCACCATCGGGTACGTGGAAAGAAGTCGACGGAATGAATGGTTCGACGAGGAGTGCAGAGCGATTTTGGAGGAGAAGAACGCAGCGCGGGCGGTAATGCTGCAGCATGGAACCCGACAGAACGTGGAACGGTATAAACAGAAGCGGAAACAGCAGACCCGCATCTTTCGGGAGAAAAAACGCCGCCTGGAAGAAGCGGAGTGCGAGGAAATGGAACTGCTGTGCCATTCCCGATAAACACGGAAGTTCTACGAGAAGCCGAAATGTACAAGGATAAGGACGGGAGCCTCTTGACGGACGGACGTGAGGTGATTGAAAGGTGGAAGCAGCACTTCGATGCGCACCTGAATGGCGAGGAGAACGTAGGCACGGGAGACCAGCGCAATGGAGGAAACGACTACGTCAGTGCAGCAGAGGACGGAACTGACCCAACTCCCACGCTGAGGGAAGTTAAGGATGCCATTCAGCAGCTCAAAAACAACAAAGCAGCTGGTAAGGATGGTATCGCAGCCGAACTCATCAAGATGGGCCCAGCAAAGTTGGCCACCTGCCTGCACCGGATGATAGTCAGGATCTGGGAAACAGAACAGCTACCGGAGGAGTGGAAGGAGGGGGTAATCTGCCCCATTCACAAGAAAGGCGACCATTTGGAATGTGAGAACTTCAGAGCGATCACCATTTTGAATGCCACCTACAAAGTGCTATCCCAGATCATCTTCCATCGTCTATCACCTAAAATGACCGAGTTCGAGATCGACAACGGACCAGATCTTCACCGTACGGCAAATCCTCCAGAAATGCTGTGAATACCAGATCCCAACGCAGCATTTGTTCATCGACTTTAAGGCGGCATACGACAGTATCGACCACACAGAGCTATGGAAAATCATGGACGAGAACGGCTTTCCTGGGAAACTGATCAGACTGATCAAAGCAACGATGGACGTGCGCAAAACTGCGTAAGGGTTTCGGGTGAACTATCCAGTTCATTCGAATCTCGCCGGGGACTGCGACAAGGTGACGGACTCTCATGCCTACTCTTCAACATCGCTCTAGAAGGTGTAATGCGACGAGCCGGGTACGATTTTCACGAAATCCGGTCAATTTGTGTGCTTTGCGGACGACATGGACATTATCGCAAGAACATTTGGAACGGTGGCAGAACTATAAACCCGCCTGAAACACGAAGCAGCAAAGGTCGGACTGGTGGTGAGTGCGTCAAAAACAAAGTACATGCTAGTAAAGGGTGATACGGTCAAAATTTGGTCAATATCAACTTGACGTATTTCTTTCAATTATGCATTTAAAAAACCTGAACACCCCTCATTTTGAAGGTGTGTGTGTGTAGAATGTTGCTCCTATTTTGATTTTGGAATTCACTCTTCAGTTGTCAAAATGCCGTCCAAGCAAGAAGAGCAGCGTATCAAAATTTTGCTCGCGCATCGCGAAAATCCGAGCTACTCACACGCAAAGTTGGCAAAATCGCTAAAAGTTGCCAAATCAACCGTTACAAATGTAATTAAAGTGTTTGGGGAACGTTTGTCGACAGCCAGGAAGTCTGGATCGGGGGGAAATCGAAAACCGGAAGCCGCTGAGACGACAAAGAGAGTTGCCGGTAGTTTCAAGCGAAACCCTAACCTCTCTCTCCGAGATGCCGCAAATAAGCTGGGTGTATCGTCTACAACCGTGCATCGAGCCAAAAAACGAGCCGGACTATCGACTTACAAGAAGGTAGTGACTCCAATTCGCGATGATAAACAAAATACGACGGCCAAAGCGCGATCCCGGAGGCTGTACACGACGATGCTGACGAAGTTTGACTGCGTGGTAATGGACGACGAAACCTACGTCAAAGCCGACTACAAGCAGCTTCCGGGACAGGAGTTTTATACGGCAAAAGGAAGGGGAAAGGTAGCAGATGTTTTCAAGCACATGAAACTGTCAAAGTTCGCAAAGAAATATCTGGTTTGGCAAGCCATCTGTACCTGTGGCTTGAAAAGCAGCATTTTCATAGCTTCCGGGACTGTCAACCAAGAAATTTACGTGAAAGAGTGTTTGAATAAACGTCTGCTGCCTTTCCTGAAGAAACACGGTTGTTCCGTACTGTTTTGGCCGGATTTGACATCTTGCCATTACGGTAAAAAGGCCATGGAGTGGTACGCCGCCAACAACGTGCAGGTGGTTCCCAAGGACAAGAACCCTCCCAACACGCCAGAGCTCCGCCCAATTGAGAAATACTGGGCTATTGTCAAGCGGAACCTAAAGAAGACCAAAAAAACTGCTAAGGGCGAGCAGCAGTTCAAGGCAAACTGGCTTTCTGCGGCGAAGAAGGTGGACAAGGTGGCTGTACAAAATCTGATGGCAGGGGTCAAGCGTAAGGCCCGGCAATTCGGATTTGGAAAAGCGGAAGCCTAACTGAATATTTTTCCTGAATTTTATACTAATTGAACTTGAAAAAGAAATTTAATTTGATTTTTTAAATAAACGATTTCACCGATTTACACGCGTTTTCCCTTGACCAAATTTTGACCGTATCACCCTTTAGGCGGAACCGAACATGACAGGATTCGTCTAGGAAGTAATGTCACGATAGACGGAAATACTTTCGAGGTAGTGGAGGAATTCGTTTACCTTGGATCCTTAATGACGGCTGACAACAATGTGAGTCGTGAAATACGAAGGCGCATCATCAGTGGAAGTCGTGCCTACTACGGGCTCCAGAAGAAACTACGGTCAAAAAAGATTCACCCCCGCACCAAATGTACCATGTACAGAACGCTAATAAGACCGGTGGTCCTCTATGGAAACGAGACATGGACTATGCTCGAGGCGGACCTGCAAGCACTCGGAGTTTTCGAGCGACGTGTGCTAAGGACGATTTTCGGCGGTGTGCAGGAGAACGGTGAGTGGCGGTGAAGAATGAACCACGAGCTCGCTGCACTCTACGGCGAACCCAGCATCCAGAAGGTGGCCAAAGCCGGAAGGATGCGGTGGGCAGGGCATGTTGCAAGAATGCCGGAAAACAACCCTGCAAAGTTGGTGTTCGCTACTGATCCGGTTGGCACAAGAAGGCGTGGAGCGCAGAGAGAACGATGGGCAGAACAGGTAGAGCGGCAGCCGCAAACCGATTATTATTGAGGCGTACTATTGTTGATTATGTCTTATTTTAAATGTGATGTTTTACAAATAAATGTATGTATGTACAATAGACCTGTTCATTTTAAACGAAATGTTCGGAATGTAACGGGTCAACCGTGATTACTGTTCGTCATGTTAATTTGAACTTTTGTGCAAATTTTCAGCAAAATCGGTATTGATTTAGAGGTGCTTCAAGTTAATTTTATGTTTTTAAGGTAATTTACGGCTTACAATATTTGTATCTCGAGACTGAAATAACGAAAACTTCTGTAACAACTTTCATAGCAAAGTTTAATGTGTCACTTTGGTCACTTTGTGACCAAAGGTTGACTATTAGAAGTGATTTTATTGAAGTTTGACTTAGTTTCATGCTCGAAGATATCTTAAAAAGTGAAGAATTTTAAAGTATTTGTTCTACGAATTTTCCACCCGTATGATATAAAAATGTGTAGTGTACGGCATAATGTTCCTCATATTGTTCTAGAAGTTTCGTTCAAACATAGTTTTCGTGTATATTTCATAGATTGAGAAATAAATATCAGAAAAGAGGCCGTTTAGCTAAAATTCACAAGACAACACAGCCAATAAAAGTCAATTAGATTGACAGAACATAGTTGCATTGCTTTCCAATGACGACCGATGACTGTTTCATTGATATATGATTTTTTTCATAAATATGAATCCTCAGTAGACGTGTTTTTTATCAAAGGCAAGTGTCACTCGAACCATAACAGCAATTTATAAAATAACGAATATTTTGAATGGCTCGAGATGCGATGGCTACACTATGTTGGAATGAAACTTCTAGAACAATATGAGGAACATTATGCCGTACACTACACATTTTTATATCATACGGGTGGAAAATTCGTAGAACAAATACTTTAAAATTCTTCACTTTTTAAGATATCTTCGAGCATGAAACTAAGTCAAACTTCAATAAAATCACTTCTAATAGTCAACCTTTGGTGACAAAGTTAATACATGACACATTAAACTTTGCTATGAAAGTTGCTACAGCAGTTTTCGTTATTTCAGTCTCGAGATACAAATATTGTAAGCCGTAAATTACCTTAAAAACATAAAATTAACTTGAAGCACCTCTAAATCAACACCGATTTTGCTGAAAATTTGCACAAAAGTTCAAATTAACATGAAGAACAGTAATCACGATTGACTCGTTACATTCCGAACATTTCAATTAAAATGAACAGGTCTAATGTACAAATCTAAATCATGGTCTACAAAACCCTGATTAAACCAATATTGTTACTTGGGTCTCTCTTTATACAGGTATTCCACTAAGACGCTTACATTCATCAGGCAAATTTACAGCAAAATGAAAACAAAATGTGTCAATCCCGTAAACTGAATTCAAGTTATGATTTCAGTTTGATTTTTATATCAAAAATTGTTTTCGATTTGCTGTGATGACTTTGCTAGGTTATTCTATTGTAGAATGTAGCGCTATATTGAAATCAAAATGATAAATTTATTTTTAAATGGATCGTTTTTAGTGCATGAGTCTATTTTGGCACAAAATGGGCAAAATATATCAGATTGAGAAACAATATATCAGTCAGTTTTGTGCAATAATTACGACGGCCATGTTTGGAGGTCTATCTTAAGAAAAGAATTCTAATGATATTACTGCGCTGCAATTATCAAACCAAGCGCTCTATAGTGCAATATCATAAAATGAGTTATTACTAGGATTATGGTTCATTTATGGGAGTTTCTAAAACATTGCTGTTATTTAACAAGATATTATAATAAATCAATAGCTTCATCAATATCGAACCGTAAATAAGCAACAGCCAAAGTTTTACCAACTTCACAACATAGACTCAATGTTTGCAGAATCAAAGTAAGTGTTAAAATAAATCTTACATTTTAAGGACCAAACTCCGCAACAAGTCAAAGTCTATTTACCGGAGATGTGTTCCGTTTTTTCCGCAGAAGCCGCTGCTATTCTTGATGCAGCCATCACTCCTGCAGATCAACCGATCCTTGTGCTAACGGACTCACACAGCGTCATCCAGGCGCTGGAAGCCGAAGCCCCGCGCCACCCCTGGATACAAGCCATTACACGATATGCCCCACCCTCAACCGTTTTTACGTGGATTCCCGGGCACTGCGGTGTTCCTGGAAATGAGGCTGCGGACAGACTGACGGGATCCGGTCCATCTGGTCCCCGCTTCACCAGGAACGTACCACTCCTAGACGTCAAGCGTTGGATCGCGAATATTATCATGGAAGCCTCGCAGGAGGAATGGTTTCAGTCGCGGACCACTTTCCTGAGAAAGATCAAAGAAACCGTACGACCCTGGCTAGACAGCCACAAGTACAAGGACCAACGGATCATTTCAAGACTCCGGACCGGCCATGCGAGGATTTCCCACAATTTTGGTGGGACACCCTTCCACAAGGTTTGTCCAATCTGCAGCATCCCTGCCTCGGTGGAACACGTGCTGTGTGTCTGCCCAGAGTTTCAAGGGCTACGCGAACAACACCGACTCCCAGAGAACATCAGGGAGCTACTTGGCAACGACCCCTCGACGCTGGTTGCGCTGATTGCTTTCTTGAAGGACGCCCACCTGTACAACCAAATCTAGCACTCTCGTCGTTGGCTGCGCTGTCCGTGTTCTTCCACCTTCCTATTTTCCTGCCGTCGGGGTATCTCTGCCGGACTGGGCACTGTCTCTTACGGTGGAGCTCTACCTTGTTCGCGCATCCATTCCTCACCACAGTCCCGATGTAACTCCCATTTTACATTAAGTTTTTTTTCTTTAAATGTTGTTTCAGAGCCAGTTTTACGTTACGTTAATGTTAGACTGAAACGTTTCCTTAGAGGCAGGCCCTAAGCCTGACCTTCTACTATCAAATGTGATGAACTAGCTTACGGCTAAAAATCACAAAAATAAAGAAAAAAAAATAAGGGATAAGTTCTTCATAATATCGACAATGTTAATGTCCCACCCTGCTGCTACTAAACACTTCTCTGAAAGAGTTGAACGACACACGCCGAAATTGATAGCGTAAATAAAGATGCTGATTCATAGAGAATGCAAAAAAAATGAACATTGTCCTCGCTAAGCGTATCTAGAAATTAAAAAAAAAATCAATGTAAAATCAATTCATCAGCTTGATTGATCAGTCATAAATTTACCATCATCAACTGCGACAGTGGAGTCAATCAACTCCATCAGTCAGCAGATTTTTATTTATATCACAAATATACAATCAGCTAGACGCTCTTGTTAGGCAGATTAGATCTGTCAAAAAAGGCCATATAAAACTTGTGTGATAGCTTTCAAAATGCAATCACTAATTGAAATATGATACATTTGTCATAATTTAGAGATAACGAACAAAGCAGGGATTTTAGATTTTTGCTATTTTGGCTTCAATATCATCATAAAAATAGGCAATGACGCAACGAGTGGCTACTTGACGTTCGGCTTTCATGATATGCCGAACACAGCCAGTGTTGCCGGGAATAAATTAGACAGCAAATGTAGGATCATACTTACCGATACCGAGCGATACAAAAAGCATAAAACCAACAGCTGAATAATCATAAGGCGAAAATTCTCCTTTGTGCACCATCTCCTCACTTCCACACTTGGGCAAATCAATATGTTCTGATTCCTTGACGGCCACAGTGCACCCAACAAATGCGAGCAATACAACTAATTTCTCCATCTTGTGTATCCTTTGTAAGAACAAAGTAACTTTTTTTTTACTAATAAGTTTTTGGTTTGAATTACACTTAAAGAATCTAAAGGTCTCTAATACTATATCACTTTTATCACAGCTACAAATTTGCAAACTGCACTATCACTATAACGGAAAACTGTTCTATTTGCTTCTCTTGGAGATGAATAGTTTACATTTCCCTCTCACAGCAGTTGGATTGTATGACGTCCTAGAACTAGTTGCACACGTTTAACTTGATCGAGTTCTACAATTCCCCTAGTGGACGCCACTGCTGCCGTGGGTGGGTTCGCCTGGAAGAAAGTGATAAAATACAAATAAAATTGAAAAACATTGCTTTAGTACGGTATTACAAAATAGAAGTGATAATTGAACATTTATACGCTACATTGAGGTGGCAGTGGCTGCGGTTAATGGTCCAATCGTTATGTGCTCAATCAATACACGTATGAATGTAAAAATATCAGCAAATAGTGGTCGCTCTTCAGCTGCTATGATTCATTTTTTCAAACAATCAAACTGGAATATTTTCGATTTTAAAATGCAACGTATTAAAATGGAAATTTCCTTCAGTGTACAATAATGACGCTCTCGATATCACACCAGATCAATGCATCCAAAAATAGTAGCCATCAATGAATGTTCCAAAATGGGTTTAAAATAGAAACAGCAATCCGTCAATATATTGTCGCGAATTGATCGCATTATCACTTGAAAATGAGATTCGGTTCGCGAAAAGTACACCCCTGCACACCCAGTGTCACCCCACTTGGACTGACAGTAGTAGCTGATTGATTGTGCAGAAATAATGTGGGAAAAAGCAAGCTCTAGACGGTTCAATCCACCACGTGCCGGTTCGATCTGCACTCAACACGCTCAAAGCGGAAAATCGCGCCCGCAGTCAATTGGACTTCAATTTGCTGGCATCAACACGCGCCGGCAAACCTGCCGAGCGAGCGGGCAAACGAGAGAACATAGCAAGCGGTGTGGCAAGCATAAAATTCAAAAAAATGACGTTAACTGTTACATTCGCTCAGCGAGTGCTTTGATTATAGGTACATGCTGCTGATCAATGCAACCAGGTGTAGTGCGACGACGATTGCGACGCGACGTGACATTCGCGACGACCGATGACCCACGCTGTCGTCTGGGTTCGGATCGGAAGACACGCTTTAACCGTTTGTCATAAAAGCGATATTTCCTTTGACTTTCCACAAATCCGAAACAGGATTACGGCGGATTTAAGCAGTGGTACAAAGAACCACGGATACCGTTATTATTCGGGGCTGGATAACAATCGCTGCATACGAATTGGAGTTATATATTCGGCATTACTTTGCGATGTGGTAGGCAGAGCGGATAGAGCTGGTTTGAAATATAGTATGCATTTGTTTACAGTTAATGGAGCACGTATTTGTGCGTGAAAAAGGCACGTTTGAATACTCTTATTTGCCGGTGTTAAGGTCAGTAACACGGTTTATATAGCATAATTAAACTTCCATCTAAAAGAAATTAAGAAGATTGGAAGCGATTTTAGATACGGTTGGGATTAGCTAGAATAATTTGTTTTCTATGAAACAACAACGATCGTTTCCTTTCTTTAATCGAAAGTAAGAAAGTACACAAGTTTTGTGTAAAGAAAGTACACACTACGGAATGTAATGTAATTTTCGGTGCCCTGAGACCAACATAGTTGGAAGTAACGAAAAACTCAATTCAATAAAACACCCTTCTCGTTCAGTTGCGTATGAATCTGTTTCGGAACTCTTAATTTTACATTTTGTCGTTCCATGATTTATGTCGAAGATGGATTATGTCTCGTGAAAACTAGTTTCTTCTTAGTGTGTTTCCCGTGCTTTTCCTATGGGGATACTAAAGAAAAACTCTTTTATTCACATGACCTGATGCTTTGGTTAATACTTGCCTGAGTAATATTTTTTGCAAAATCCGAGGTTTGGTTAAAATTGAGAAGTTTTTAAATTTTTGTCTGGCAAATGAATAGTTTCGTGTCATTTTCCATATATTTTACCATACAAAATTAAAAATTCGGGGAGATTAGGGTTCCCAAGTAACAATTTAAGTTTTATCATGGTCTTGTAGACCAGGATTTAGACTTGAAGAATGCTTTAAAACCTCGATAAAACTTTCAATGTTATTTGGGTTGTGATCCACCATATAAACTCTACGCACCTTAATATATACAGCAATTCCATAGAAAAAAAGTAAGAGTGGAACTTAGAATTTCGTAACAATTGATAGTGTTTTTCTTTTTTCTTAGACCAGTATTTTTTTTTTCCTACGCCATCAGGGTGGCCCTTCCCTTGAAGTCAAAAAGAATCTCAGTAAGATAGTTTTTGAGATACAGCTAAAAAATGAAAATTTACTTTAAAAACGTTTGTTTACTAAAATACAAATATCTCCGGTTATAATGATACCATATCAATTATTTTAATATCAATTTAGAGGCAAACAAATTATCTTTCGATCAACCTATTATCAATGGTCAGTGAGATTAGTGGTATTGTTGTTAATTAATAGTTTGTTTATTTATTTTTTATATTTTGCATTTTTCCCAGAAAAATTGAATGTCTGCTAAGTTTTTAAGCAATGTAAATAAAAATATTTGTAGTGGTTGTACCATAGAGGTAACTCTAAGACCAGCAGGTCCCGAAGAAACGTGCTCAACTTTTTGGCTCAGCTCTAGTACTATCTTCGGTCCCAAGCTAATCGATTCACCCCTCGAAACATAGGAAAATCCACGAGCCCCTCATTTTATCTGTCAAACTTTCATAGCGGATCAAAACAAACATTGTGTAGTAGTAGAATTTCGACTAGAATGTGGTACGTTAATCGTTTGCTTGGGACCAATAGGCTAGTCGAGGAGTGAGCCAATTTAAAATCGTTAGTTTCGTATTGATTGTTGGTTGTACCACTGTACTAATCTCACTGAAAAATGGTGTTCAAACAATCGAAAGCAAATTTTATCACTTTTAATTTGGCGTCAAAATAATTAATATAACTTCACTACAGGAGATATTTGTATTTTAGTAAACACATTTTTTAAAGTGAAATTTAATTTTTTAGCTATATCTCGAAAACTATCCTACTGGGATTTTGTTTTTTTTTTAACTACATTTTTGGATTCAGCGCATGATTTTACATGGAAAATGACCATCAGCGTACAAAGTTCAAATATGCTGTAATCTAGTGCTACAGTAAAGTGAACCAATTTTCAGATTTTTTCTCCAATACAAAGCTGTATTAGAAATTTTAACCCAGCCAAGCTATTAACAAAAGAAAAAATCGATTATGAGTAGCTAGGCCCGTATGATGCTCAACGCACCTCAGAGCGTTAGCAAAGTAACTTTGTGCATGCATCCACAACACTCGACAAAGAGTGTGTGGTTCTCACATTTGCTTCGCACACTCTTTTCCAACTAATCTGTGAGAAAGCGATCCACACAATGAGCGGTACACTGCGTGCGGCGCAGGGAGCGAATATAATACAACAAGCGCTAATGTCTTCTTTGAATTCTTTGCAGACTTTGCATACCACGACTGCATACATAGAAGAAGAATTTTGTATTTTTGCTGGGTTTCCCATTTGCAACCATACACTGAGTGGCGCTCTTTGTGTCGGAGCCGTCGGAGCGGTACCCGAGCAAAGTTTGAGATCAAATTGAAATCTAAATTTGATGTTGTGATTTCGCTGATAATGATTGCTCAGGTTGCTGTCGTTTTGGTCGTTTTAACGGTTAAAATATCAAAATTGAGAACAAAAAAAATCTTCCTGTGACATCACATAGAAAACTATTTCTGCTATCAGTGAGAGCAAACTGAAAACTAAATTTGATATCAATTTTTCCTGTTGATAACAAAACAAGTATTCAATTTGATGTTATGCTAAGGCAATGAAAACAAACCCGTAACAACATATTGTTGAAGAGCAAATGTACAGCAAAATGAAAACAAAATTTGGTATCAAATTTGTGAATTGCGAAACTGAAATCAAATTATGATTTCAGTTTGATGTTGATATCAAATCTTGATTTCAATTTGCTGTCATTTTGATGCTGGACTTTCCTCGGGTAGCTACACATTGAGCTTTCGTTATTTCTGCGTGTGTGTGTGTGTGTGTGTGTGTGTGTGTGTGTGTGTGTGTGTGTGTGTGTGTGTGTGTGTGTGTGTGTGTGTGTCTGTCTTCTCTTCTCCGTTGCTTTACACTTGCGCAGGGTGAAAGGCAAGCAAACTTTGTGTTTGCTTGATTCTCACTTTCAGTGTTCGGAAAATCATTCTCAAATCTCATTCATTGAGCCTCCCTGCGAGAATAAACTCGCGTGCGAATGCGGCAAACAAAATTCACGCTTGAGATTCTCATGCATATTCACGCACTCACACTCACAACGCCGAAAAATCATTCCAGCCTTTAAACTCATAAAAACATCTCAAACGTCAATTGATGTCATGCCTATGCATGTTGTGTTAGTTTTCCAACCCCTGATGCACCAACATTAGTAATAACAATGAATAACGCCAAAATATAAAGCAATAAATTTTTGAACCTGAAAACTCATCGGTGATTTTTGCGACGTTGAATTTTGCAAGGTAAAACTCATAGGCGCATAAACTCATGCTTGAGATTTGAGTTTTTGAGTTTTTCCGAACACTGCTCACTTTGTTTATTTAAAAAATCAGTACATAGCGCGCATTGAGTGATCAGATGACAGCCCTGTATTACCAAACCGGAGGCGGCAGGTTCTATTCCCGGTCTGGTCCTAGGAAAAGATGAAGAGTGAAAACAGCAAGGCACAACAGTACAAAGTGCAATAAATATTCAAAGTGTTTTTATGTTCCTACATACGTGAAGTTTACGATTTACAGAGTTCGTTGGAAATGATATCTAAAATGAAGCTTTAGTGTGATAATCTATTAGCTAGAGAAAGGTCTGAAGAGGGTAGGCAGATAGTTCCGCTAGAGTACGGCAGTATGAAAATTGAATAGAAGTTGTAGATGAGCAAAGGACCATCAAGGCGACAGTACTTGTCAAACGTACACTTCTTTAACTAATTCATAGATTGATGGATTAGGAGACTTGAAGCATTTCTTCAAATCTACTGGCAAAAAAGTGCATTTTTGACTTGCTCATATACTGTCTGCGGCTGTGGAATAGTTCTAGGGACGTTTCATCACTACCTCTAGCTAATAAATGATCACACTAAAGCTTCATGTTAGATATCATTTCCAACCAACTCTACAATAAATATTTTTTTTTTCTTATTGTGTGTACACTGAGTAACTTTTGGATGCTTCAAATGGTTCTGATGCCCCGAGAGAATTTGCTGATTTATGGTGAATCCAAATTATAAAAAATTGGCTGATTTCCCCTGTTTTTCCAGCCCTACAGTATCGCATGATTTGGTTTGAAATAAAGACTAATGCGAGTATATCGACTAGTCACGAGTATATCAGCTTTTCCGCCAAAAATCTCTACAGCAAAGGGATGGAGCTTTGATTAACATCCGGAAGATAAATATCCTAATATGCGAACTAATTTGTTTGTGTTTCGAACAATGCTAAGCTGCGAAGAAGGTCGTAAACAAGTAGGATTTGTATCCTCACATAAATGAAGGATAAATGATGAATATTTGTATTCTCAACCAAGATTCGTTCATTCGAGCATAAATCATCATTTGAATAAACATGCAAAGTGTGAAGGTGCCAGAAACTGCAAAGCAGTGTAGCTTGTAGAACAGCAACTTTTGAGAAAATCATCGTAAGTAGAGCAAAAATAAAAGTATTGCGTCCAGCGAAAAAAAATTAAGAACACAAATATAGTCTCTATCGTAAAATGGAAGAGCAAACACATAACCTAAAACGAACACCTGCTTCAAACCGTGAAAATCAATGATTTTTCTTTTAAATGTAAATAATTGTAAATAATGTGACCAACAATGCCGTAAGCATAGACGTAGACAGACGGGCACAGGAGGAAGGCAACCTGTCCCTTAACTCAACAAAATTAAATGGCGTTCCGCATTCGGCGAAATTTTTCAAAGTAAAAAATGGTCCTACTCCCTAGGATGAAACCTGGCTAATATAATGTTCAGAAGCACCATATTTGCTGTATATCAGCCTATTATATTGATAATTATTTGTATCTTCTTTTTCTTCTTCTTTTTATTGAATATAGCAGCTTTTTATGCGAGTGTTTTACTGACTCTCAAGCTAGAGGCTGTTCATAAAATACGTAGATATAGAGGTTTTAGAGCCCCTCTCCACCCGCTAGAGTTTTTGGCGAAAATGAATCAATTGTAAAACTACCATCTCTTTACAATATCTCGGAAAGTTCCCTATTTTTTCAGGAAATGTAAAACCTCCAAAATAAGCCATAGGAAAACAATCTTCAACAGTGTGTTGGTTTTTCGAATGGTCTTTTATTCCGCAACGCACAATGAAGCACTTCCACAATAATGAATTTAGAGGTTTCCATGCCAACAATTTATTTGAATAAATACACTCAGGCGTAAAAAAACGGGGGAAAACCTATAATGGTTTTGATTTTTCACATTCGAAATATTAAAAAAAAATGATATTGATCCCATTCGTAATTATAGCATGCCATGGTATATAAAGAAATATTTTTAAAATTCTGTATTTACACCTAAAACTGTGATTTTTAAGGTATGCCATTCGATTACCTATGGCTTGAAACGGATAATGTGATTCGAATCAAGTCGATTGGTTGTATCATTATCGAGAAATCGTTAAAAACGTACCGTGGTAATTGCAACTAAGCGACACCGTGTAAAAAAACAGTTTGAAAAAGAACAGCGTAAAAACCCGTGTTAAGAAAATACTGAGTGTATTGTGTGACAAGCACAATGATACTCTATGGTCAGGAAAATCGAGAAAATTTCCAAATGGAAAGATTTTATTTTTCTCTAGTTTGATGATACCATTCCATAACTGATTAGACTATCTGGGCTCTTGGATTACTTGGGCAACTCAATTGGAACTTCTTCAGCATATCTAGCTGAACATTTCAAAAGGTTCTATCTCCATTGCATTGATCGATTATCTTTATATACTTTCTCTTTCGTTCTTAACTCAGCTGCAAAAATATTTCCTGTTGTGTTTGATGTTTTGGACGCTACATAAGATCCTCCCCAAGAAACATAGAATGCTTCTGCAGCTTATTCAGATTGTCAGTCAGTACAAAACTAGCACGAACTCTGTTTGTATAACCGAGGTTATCAAAAGAGAAAGTCGATGAAGATGATCAATCAAAGCAGATAGGACCTTTTGAAATATTCACCCAGAATGAGAACATCTTCAGTTGAGTGCACCGACCGGTAACAAGAGAAGCTACTTAACAGCAACACCACTTTCCTCCCTCGACACTGTACTTATTAACATCCTCTTACCTCCGGGAAAACCACGCTTCCGGTGTGGACTTTCCGTAGTTTGTAGGAACGTACGGAACTGTATCTGCACTATCTGTCCAAAACAGTTTCGGTAATTCATTCGCTTGAGATTAAATCGCCGAAACACATTAGCACGAATCTTCTTCTTTTTGGGATCCAATATTGGGTTTTTTCGAAAAGTCACTTCTATCACGTCACGAGTACAATCACGATAGTTCAACGTCCGTTATCAGCCAATATTGATCGTAGCGTTTCTCAAACGACTGGATAGCATCAAAATATAAAATTTAACCCAACGACTGGTTTCTGCAAAAGCGAGCGTCGCGAACGGAAATTCGATTCCAAATAAGATGGTCCAATTGAGTGTCTATTATTTATAAACGATTTGAACGCTCCTGTGACGATCTGCATATGTATCGGTTGGTTTGCAACATCGCACTTAAGCCCCTTCCCTATGCAGTCATGAGTGTGTAGCGTGCGCAGATGGTAGAAGCACTTACGCAGAGCCCAGTAGCAGCGGGCAGTCGCGAATCGGCAAGTCACACAACATTCGCGAACTGTTGATGATACAAAACGAAGCTGATAGACTTCATCTTCGTCGTTGTCGTCGTCAGTGGCATGTTGTGGCTGAGGTTGTCACATTTAACATAAGTACAAATGCAAGCAATCACCGCGCTACAGAAAAGCTGATAACGCCCATTATAAGGGTGGGAGTAAGTATAATTGGAAATGCCGCTGGGTGTCAATGTACCGTGGGAGATTCGGACTTCATGCCATTCGGAAGATAAAGCGAATCGATCTTAGAAGCACTGAATGAATAATCGATTTATGAATGAGCGATATGAGTAGGGAAAGGAGGGGCATAGTAAACAGGTGGGGCATAGTGAGCTTCCAGTGCTTTACACTGGAATGATTATGGTTCGAAACAAACGAATTGGTCATGAATCATTGCAATGGTGATATTGAACCTACTACCAATTAATTTGTTTCGACTAATTAGAGGTTTATGACTAGAGGGCGGGATGCTCACTATTCCCCACCTGTCCACTATGCCCCTCTTACCCCTATGTATTGAATAATTCCGGGACCTTTGATATTAGGGCGTAATTGCTTTTGTAAACAAAACACATCAATCGCCGATTTCTTGCAAATTAATGCTCAATCGAAAAAATTAACGGTGCAAACAGGTAGATACATGATTCCTCTATCATTTAGTATGGTTTATTCGCGAGATTGAGTTTCAATTCTCAATAAATCAGCGATAGACGTGATTGTTTACAAAAGCAATTACGTCCAAATCTCAAAGTTCTCCGGAATTATGTGATACGGTATTCAATCGAAGCAAATATGGTGTTCCGATAGCACCAATCTGTCACCTGTTTTAAAAGACAGTGATGGAAAAAATCCTGAAATCTTCCAAAAGGTATTCGCACGTGTCGTAAACTGATAAAATTGTGCCTGCAAATCACCCTATTCCAAGCACGAGGTTTTTTTTTTCAAGGAAAATTAATCAGACATCTATCCAACAGATGCTCTATGATGTGAAGCATGATACTGCAAAAAATAAGCATTGTAAGTTCGGGTCGTCTTTATTTGACATATTTGCATGACATCGTTTTGCCATGTTTTTGCCATGAAGGAATGACGAATACCAGCATATATATTAATTTGGCATCCGAAGGACTACCGGCCTCAGCGTGGGAACTTTGAAAAATCTTTTTCGAGGTGCATGAAGAATATGGCGGCATATGAGGACTTGGAATGCTATCGGACAACCAGATGATCCAATACCTGCAGCGAATAAGGGAAAGTGTCGACAAATTTAGCAACCCAAATTTTCGGAAGTAATTACTCCTTTCGACGAAAAAGAGGTATATAATGAAAATATTATGTCAACCAGCGTACTTCCAACAATTTCTTCACATAAACAGAATGCGACTGAAATGTTGATATACTGTCAAAATTTCCTGCCCTGAGCCAAAGGGGTTAGGGCGCGTTCTTCCAGGTTGGTCGAGGCAGATTTCATGTGTGAGCAAGTGATGACATTGCTATGAGCAATACACATGTAGTTCCAAAGAGCCTGAATGAAATGTGACGCTTGCGAAGATTACTTGAAGATACGATATGACGGAACATTGATACTATTTGTATAAAACACAAGTAAATTTTTTTCTTTGATTTGTTTTCCGTCGATCTTGTTTTCCGTACTGAGTACCAATGCTACTGACGCCAGGGAAGTAGCTCCCACATCTGGACCGTACCTATCCACTAACGGCTCTACTTCCCTTCCGAACGAAGACATGATCAGAGATTTTGTGCCTCAGAAAATTCCGGCGGCGCCGACTGGGATTGAACCTACGCCTGCTGGGATGAGAGGTAATCACGCTTACCACTACACCACCGACGCCGCTTGCTAATAATGTATATAGGGTTACGGGATGCAATGTCAGCCTAGCCCTTCACTTCGGCCTATCAAGCCTACCAATAGTAATGAAAGCGAATATCTGCTATGATCTAGTAATCCGTAAATTAATTACCTATTTGTGGAACACATGGTGTACATTTAATGCTGTTTTTTAAATAAAAAGTAAAGTGAAATTTTCAAATTTTTCAATTTTAAGGCTCCATAATCTTGCTGTGTTATTGCACTAACGAAAATCTACACTGCGGTGGTCATCAAAAAACCTGATAATTACCTGACACTTACATTTTTGTAACATACTAGTCTAATAAATCAATATCACAGTTTTCACTGTAATCACTTACTTTAGAAGACTAAACCCTATTTGCGCTTTATAATTATGGGCCGAACATAAGGGACGTCATTTTGATACGTGTTCTTCATTATACCCTATGAACTTTAATCAATAACTTTGTATTTGTATTTGTGAAGCCATTCAAGTTGACGACGCCTGTGCCTTTCTTTTACGCTTAAAGGAAAAACCCAAAATAAATAGGTCCATTTCCGTAATTCTGGTAACTGAAACAAGCTGGGATTAAAGCCTTCGGAGTGAAATTATTTTTAGATTTGTGCAGTTTTAAAGCTTTTACTCCGCTCCTTTACAAAGCTGAAGTAACTACTTGAGAAAAGTGATTAATGTGCACTATTATAAATACTCTACTCAGCGATTTTGTTGTAGAATGGACATGTTGATTTTTTTACATCAGTTCAAAGTGTTGACGTAGCACAGTTGGTAGTGTCAAGGATTGTCAATGCGGTCGTCTCTAGTTCGATTCCAGGATCCGGTGGAGGATAAATAATTTGCTGGTATTGCTTGTAACTAATTTCGATTAATTTGATTCACAACCAAATAAATTCAATAAATTCCTCCATCAAAAAATAGCTTAAACAATATTTAACCCGGCTTCAAGAGAAAGCTGTGTAGTGATTATTGGATAACCGGAAAAAGGTTGAATAAGCGCCATTCAAGTTCACACACAACCAAACAGCAGGTTAACAGCTGTATAGAAGCGTTGATGGATACGCAATAAGAGCTTGTCCCAACCGTCCCAACAGCCAGTTCGCCAGTTTTGCTTGTATATAGGTTGAGTAAAGGTTCCCTCATATCGTATAACGTTTGATCATTCTTTGCTCGACTGTTGAGCTGTTCAGTCCGTATTTTTCGCTCGAGATCTCGTTTCGATTTTGTTTCGTTTGTGCTGTCGCGTTGCGCCGTGAAAGTGTCGCCACCTTCTCGCGTTCTGGCAAGATTACTTGAACTTGCAAACACGAAACAAATGGTGCGTAAACGTGCCAATGAGTCAACAGCGGGCCCTTCAAAGAAGGTGCTAATCAAGCCCAGCGAGTCGCAGGATGACGCCGGAAAACGAGTACTGCAAGCCAACCAGTATGCAGTACTCCCGGAAGAAAATGGCGATGGTGACGCCGCTCCCATTGCAAGAAAAGAGCGAATTCCCCCGCTTTTCACGCCGGTGAAGGATGTTGCCAAGCTAGGTGCCGAACTGGCAAAACACAAGCTGCTGCCTCGCTTTAAGCTTTGCAGCATCGGTACCAAAATCATGTGCTCCAGCCTGGAGGAGTATAAACAAATAGGATGTTTCCTGAAGGAAAACAACGTGGACTTCTTCACGCATGATCTGCCATCGAGCAAGCCACTGAAGGCGGTTTTGCGTGGATTACCGTCGTTCGAGGCGGCTGCGGTGAAGTCCGAGCTAGAGCGGCTTGGGCTCCAACCTGAGGCCGTGTTCCAAATGAACCGCCGTTCCATCAACAATACCAGCTTCCGTGACCAGTTGTTCCTGGTGCACTTCACGAAGGGATCCACCAGTCTTGTGGCTCTGAGATCCAAAATCCGGGACCTGTTTCAGGTCATCATCAGTTGGGAGCATTACAAACCCCAACATCGTGATGTTACGCAGTGTACGAACTGCCTCTCCTATGGCCATGGCACCAAAAACTGCCATATGAAGACAAACTGCGGCAAGTGTGCTGGAACTCACTCAACTGCGTCCTGTGAGCAAGTTGATGACATAGAGCCAACGTGTGTCAACTGCGGTGGAAACCATCAAGCCTCCAATCGCGGAAGTCCCAAGCGAGTGGAGTTCATTAATATCCGTCGGAAGGCTACAATCAACAACCAGGTCGGTCGCCTCCGTAATCATCGTTCGCCTCCTGTACTCACGGAAGTCCAGTACCCAGCTCTCCAGCCCCGTCGACATGTTCCGAACCTAGCCCCGCTTCCGCTCAACAACCAACAAGCCAATCCTGCGAGTATCCAAATGGTTCCCAACAGTCGGACAGTTCAGCATCGTCTCGCTGCTGCTGCTCATCATTATGCGCACCTGCAAGAACAGCTACATGCTGCCCTGTCCCTTGTCACTAAGTACCCAACAAACATTGAATGTTGAATAAGAGCTTATTTAGGCAAAAATGAGCTTCTTCAGCTACAAAATGGCTTATTCAGCTGTTAATCAACTCAAATTGTTTGTTGGGTATGGACCGTGAAGCCATCAAGATCGTAAATTGGAATGCTTGCTCCTTGAAGAGCAAAAACATCGAGTTTGTTGACTTTCTCAACGAACGGCACATCGACATAGCCGTCATCACCGAGACTCACTTGAAGCCCGAGCTGAACGTCTTCCTTCCCGACTTTCGGCTCGTAAGGCTTGACCGCACCAGCTCCGGGGGAGGGAGAGTGGCCATCGCTGCGAGGCGGAACATCAGCTGCCGGCTACTACCAAGCTTCCAGCTGAAAATTATCGAAGCCATCGGAATTGAGGTGAGCACAACGCTTGGTCCA